AATGTTATACATGCTTGTGACTAAAAAGGCCTAAAAAAAAATTGTTTTGTTAGGGTAACATGCTCTCAAGGAATAGGTAGGGTAGGTCGGATTTTTTTTATTTTTTTTTTATTCACCAGTTTATTGACATTTGCTATTTTGTGCCTCCCGGGTGGCACAAATACATCCCTTCTATGTTTTCAAAAGACATTTTAGGTGTAATAATCTTAAACTCTCGGCGTTCTGCCGTTTGGTGAAGATCACAGGCCGCTTTACAAATATTGACGATGTGATCCGCCATTTTGTAACTAAGAGCGGCGATAAAACCTGCACCGTACCGTACCTCAATAATACGGTATTTTCAACGATTTTTTTTTTTTGGACACGAAAAAAACGGTAGGGTCGGCGTATATTATTAGGCAGGGTTGGGTGACCCGAACAAAACAATTTTTTTTTTAGGCCTTATTGTTTTACTTTTATTTGTATCAAACATGAATGATTAAATCATTTTTTTTTTTAATTAATCACATGGATCAAATAAATAATCATAACAGCAAAAGAAGCTTTTTTCATAACAGCATGATCAGAGTGGAATTAATAAACAAATAAAAAGAACATTGGAAAAAAAAGGGGTGAAAAGCAAATAATACATTAGATAAAATTGAAGCATTTAAAGCAGACAATCAATTGATTGCCTGAATTAAAATATCCAGGACTCAAAAAATTTTAGAATGATGGTTTCACGAACATCAAACTTTCGAAATTTACTGTCCGGTAATTAATGCACTTATCAGTTCATGACTCACATACAAGCAAGAACTTTTATTAGATTTATGCATACATCATTATGTCGGTAAAAAGCTATATATATATGTATAGTTATATTTTGTGGAATGTTAATAGAATACAAACAATAAATAAGGTTTGATTTATTTCATACTTAATTTATTTTTGATATAAATTACATATAGCCTCTTTTTTTTTTTTGCCTGCTTGTCCGTGCAAATATGAGAAGAGTTCAGGGCATTGTACAGTGTTTTTATTGAAACCTAAAACGGAGATGATGTAAAGTATAAGCTCTCAACTTTGAAAGTGAAAAACTTGTTACATGCAAAAGTAAAGCTGGGAACTCTTAGTTTAACAATTTATTTTTTATTTCCATTGGGAAACTCTTTAAATTTTTCAGTTTTTAATTTATATTTCTATATGGAGACTTGAATGTAACTCGGATAGTTTTGTTTGTCTGGAAATGGTTTCAACACTAAAATTGATTTTGTCTTAAAAACAACCTTATTGTAGTGAAAAAGTTAGTTTAACAAACGTATAACTAAAACTATAAATTTAAGTAATTTTCATCAAAACATGAAAAAAAATATAAAACCATTAAACACAATTTAAATGATGTAATGTTCTGAAAATGTTCGACCTAGGGTCTACGTCTGGCCTATTGTTGTTTCTTTGTGTCCAATCGCAGAAAATACTTAAAAGTTACTGCTGATAACAATTATTTGTACAGTAAATTCATTGCTTTTCTTTCATGTTTCATAGTGTAAAGCATCATATCCGCGCAGTCTGATCAGGATCCATGCTGTTCACTTACAAATCCTATAACAAGTAAAGAAACTGATAGCTAACAGCATGGATCCTGATCAGACTGCGCTGATGCGCAGGCTGCTCTGGATCCATGCTGGTCGCAAACCCATTATGCTGGTTTTGTGGTGACGCGGCTCATATATAGTTTAATTCTAATAAGAATGTGTATCATCATTGTGGCTCAGTTGGTAAAGCAACATCACTACCTAAACATGATTCAAACATATATATGCATGATTACAATACTAACAGGGATGCTGTGTCAAATCCCCTATCAAGGCACATGATAACAATCATGATGTTTTAAGTTGTTTTTTTTATTAGAATTCAGTCTGCCTTACCTATTTTTTGTTTTGTTATAAATCTTTTTTATGTAAACAAAGGGTCAAGTTATCAAACTAGGACAGTATATAAATAACACATGGGTTAAACCGTTTGTAGGTAACAGTAGAAATATCATTTCTCGTAAAAATGAGGAATGATATTTTTACTGTTACTCACAAACCGTTGTGTAATTTATTTTATCACCCGGAACAAATACAGTAACCTATAATAGAAAAAGACAACACAACATAATCAGATTTTATACTGTTAGAAAGTACTGTTACCCTATAACTGTACAAATTTCTTAGTCACATGATACACTTGTTTTAACAGTAAGAGAACCTAAATGTATTGTGTATAAGGTAACTGTACATTTAGGTTCTCATTGACCACCATATAGTGGCCTACTTTTGTCTCAAAACTCGTATCTTTGGCTAATACTCTGAGTAAAATGCATGGTGGTAAATTACCACCACTTTATGCTTTGAAATTAACCCTTTAAGACACATCCAGGTTTATCCTTGTGTGAAAGAAAGCTTATATATTTGGCATGTTGCATTGCTTAATTGCCCTGTAACTGTGTCACTCTTGTTTCATTGATCATTGACTTTTATAGGAAACCTATGTTTAAAGATTGTTTTTAAGAAACACAGGATTTTTTCCAGGATTTTGGGAACATGACCCATACCAATGGAATTGGGAATTTCAGAGATGTTTTGATGAAAATTGGGGAAAATCCTAAAATGCATGACTAAAGTTTTGCAGTGATCAAATGAATGCAAACAGTCGCTGTCTAGGATGGCATTTTCAAACATTTAAGCACTATAACAGTGAAAAGATGTAAAAAAAAAGAATTATTCAATATTTTGTAACTTTCAATTGGGAATATTTTCCTGTGGATTGGGAAAATAATACACTATTTTCAATTTGCAATATCAGCCATATAATAAGCCAAAAATTATCCCTGAAACGACAATGCCCTTATCTGACTGGTAGAAATTTCATGGTTTCTTTTAATGTAAATTTTATGATGAGTAATGAATGTGAGGTTAGAATTAGAGATAATGTATGTGTAAGATTAATAAATGTCATCTTAAACTTTCGCTTATCATGATTTATTGAATTCAACACACAAGCATGTGACATTTAAATGCATTATTAAACAATTGTTGAGCTATATTATCAACAGAATAGCTGTACATTCAATAACAAAAATATTTTAATAACTTCAGAATTGCAGCCACCATTATCTCTGCATGATTGTAAGAGGCAACTAAATGGGTTTTGAATAAAGGTAAATCTATTAGCTCCAATAGGTGAGGTGGTTTTGACCCTTTGCGTTGCTCAAAACTTTGTAACATCCGAGGTTAGCCTGTTTCTGCGCCATGTGACCCGATTGTGTTGGTGCACCGTAAAACCAATACTAAAAAAACAAATTTACTATATAACTATCATTAATATATGATTTTTCATGTATCATATGTGATGCAATAAAAAAAGTACTTAAGTACTAGAGCTCTGCATTAAATCTTCTTTTTTTCTTATTGTTATAAGGATATTATTTTTATTTTTTTGCCTAACCATAACTTGTATTTCCTTGTGTCATCACAAGCTGTGTTTTTCAAGCATATATCCCTTTGTTGTGTTTCCTTTTAAATGTCCTAGTTTATGTAATACACTTACATGTACTTAATCCACACTTACTAGAAATAAGATCAGTACTCTTATGACAAATCAGTATGTTATGAGAGTGTGGGAGGGGAGGGGTAATGTAAGGGATATAATTTTGCAGAACAACAATAGCAGTTGTTGTTTTCCTTGTTTCTGGTCCTTTTAAACAAATAACTAATGAGTTATTCAGTTATATTCAAAGAGGCAAGGTTGAACATATTAAATTTTAAGATAATAATAATATTAAGTATAGTGACATTATGCTTATTATTTTTTTCGTTGCCAAGGTTGAGCTGAATTAGTAATATATTTCAAAAGGTTGAATGAAACTTATGGTGATTGACCAAGATTTGATATTGAAAACATTTAGGATAAAACTATCTAAATTATAAAGGACTGCCACAATTTTTTTTAAAGATTGAATGCATTTGATACATTCCGAATGATATATTATATTTTATAGAATAAAAGAGATTTTTAAGTGATACAAAGTGGGAACTTTATTTATAAGATAATTTTGCACTTTGTATTTTTATAGTCTGTACATAAGGTCAAATAACAACTATCAAATATATTGAGAATTGTTTCACACTGTACTGTGAACTTTTATTTAATGACTGTACTTTATCATTCTTTTTATTCTGTTTCAGAACAAAGTTCTACAATTCAGGAAGAACTAATGACTGCCTATAATGACTGATGTTATAATTATGTGGTAAATACATACACATTCATCAGAATGTCTGAATACGAGCAGATATTGCGGCAGTTAGGATCATTTGGTCCTTACCAGCGTCGGGCATTTATCTTGGTGAGCATGTTTTGAGACACCTTTAGCATGGGCAATGTTGACACCTATATTATTGAACTACAGACCAGACTGGTATTGTACAAGATTGGAACATACTGCAAAATTGGGTAAATATTTAATTCTGACAAAGTAATTAAAACAACTTTTAACTTGAGATTTGTTTATACTTATAGTGAGGCATGCATTGTTGTTATAACATTATCTTTTCACAACACAATACATGTATATAAATTTCAATGATTAGCTTTATTTTAGTACTTTATAAAAAACAAACCAATGAGTGTCACAATTTTAAGCTAAAGAGAAAATGTGATCAAGTTTTGTTTATTAATTATATGACAGTGGACTAAATTATAAAATCTATAATATAATCTATATAATGACCCTGTACAATAAGCAAAATTTTACAAATTGTTTTTGTAATTTATTTTGTGTTATAATTTAGAATAATAGCTGAAAATACACGGGTATTGACCCATCACTAGTGTGGGAGATTGACAGTAATGATGAACTGCAAATGTTTTTACATCTGGTTAATTACACGGGAGGAAAAATTTAAACCAGTTATAAGACCAAAAACACTTTCCTGGTGGTAAAATATGTCCTGGCATTGAATTTGAAGAAGTAAAGTCCATTGTTTCCACTGTAAAGTATAATAATGTTGTTATGACTATCTTTATACCCTCATGATGATGACAAGGTCTTCCTTTAAATGCACTTGCCTTGGAAATCATCGTTTTTTAATTCTTTATGAAGGTCAAATATGTGTTTAATAAATCATACTTCAATAATGTATTTAGAACGAAATTGCTAGAAGTAAAATAACGAAGAAAGTAGGATGGGGTGTAAAGTAATGTGTCGTTAAGATAAGAAAATGTAAACAAAGTAGTGTCATGATCCCATACAAAATACCATTTCACCATGATTATTTCAATTGCCAAACTTCAGCCAAAGAGCAAAAAAAAATACAACAATGTATATAAAAAGCTAGGTCATCAAATATGGCCAATGATTAACTTTTTGGAAATTGTATCATTGTATATTATTTTATTAAGAAAAAGTTAAGTGCTAGACATTAGGAATCATAGATAAGACCATGTCACTGAAAAGAAGTGCTTAAAATTAATGAAGAGCAAAAGCAAAGTTCTCTCCCTTTAATACATTTTGGTGCAGATATTAGTCAGTAAATTGTTATGATTATAATTATTTGTTACAGTGGAAGCTAGTATGTGACCAGGAAATTGTTGGAGATATCATCACATCTATACAGATGGCAGGTGTTTTAATTGGTGCTGTAATTACTGGACAACTGGCTGACTTGTTTGGCCGACGACATATTCTGTTTATAGAACATGCCATCCTAGTTATCATGTGGTTTTGTAGTGCCTTTGCTTCAAGTTGGATGGTTTATGCTGGTCTTAGGTTTATAATTGGTGCTTTAATTGGAGGTAAGAGGGTTTTGTTAATGATTAAAACATAGACTTATGTAAGCATTGTTAAGATTTAGAAATAATCCATGTCTACTCTAGACTTAAGATAAATAATTGTTCTTTGTCATTACATCATGCATGGCAAGGTTCTTAACTCTAGCATCTTTTTTCAAGAGTTATTTCCACTTTGAACTTATAATTTTACTTTAAAAGCTTCAAACTCTCTTTGCTCTTATCATTTTTGTGTCGCCTCTATGGAGTAGTGGCAACATATAGGGATCACTTCTCCGTCGTCTGTCTGTCCGTCCGTCTGTCTGTCCGTCACAAAACTTTTCCGGACTACTCCTCTTAAACTACTGGTGCAATTTCATCCAAACTTTACAGGAATGATCAGTACCAAGTCTAGTTGTGCAAATTGTCAGCATTTTCCGGTTCAATGATTTTTGTCATAGTTATGGCCCTTTAATAATTTTTTATTTTAAAGTTTGTCCGGACTACTTCTGTTATATTACTAATGCAATTTCAATGAAACTTTACAGGATTGATCTGTAGCTCAAGTCCTTGCAAATATTGCAAGGGTTTTCCGGTTGAATGATTTTTGGCCGAGTTATGGCCCTTTGATAAAAAGGTTTCTTTTTCTGTGTGTTGCCAGATACACAAAAGCTTGTCCGGACTACTCCTCATAAACTACAGGTGCAATTTCATCCAAACTTTACAGGAATGATCAGTACCAAGTCTAGTTGTGCATATTGTCAGCATTTTCCGGTTCAATGATTTTTATGCTCCCCGAAAAAATTTCGGGGGAGCATATAGTCGCCGCCTTGTCCGTCCGTCCGTCCGGCCGTCCGTCCGTCTTTCCGTCCGTCCGTCCGTCCGTCCGTCCGTCCGTCCCCTTTTCTTGTCCGGGACATAACTTTGAAACAACAAGAGGTATCAACATGAAACTTTGTAGGTAGATAGATCTCATTAAGTAGGTGTGCAGTGCACAAGAACCGTAACTCTGCCTTGCCTAATTTTTGAATTATTCCCCTTTGTTTATTTTTACACTTTGAACTTTGTCCGGGACATAACTCTAAAAGTATAAGAGGTATCAACATGAAACTTTGTAGGTAGATAGATCTCATTGAGTAGAAGTGCAGTGCACAAGAACCGTAACTCTGCCTTGCCTAATTTTTGAATTATTCCCCTTTGTTTATTTTACACTTTGAACTTTGTCCGGGACATAACTCTAAAAGTATAAGAGGTATCAACATGAAACTTTGTAGGTAGATAGATCTCATTGAGTAGAAGTGCAGTGCACAAGAACCGTAACTCTGCCTTGCCTAATTTTTGAATTACCCCCTTTGTTTATTTTACACTTTGAAATTTGTCCGGGACATAACTCTAAAAGTATAAGAGGTATTAACATGAAACTTTGTAGGTAGATAGATCTCATTGAGTAGAAGTGCAGTGCACAAGAACCGTAACTCTGCTTGCCTAATTTTTAATTATCCCCCTTTGTTTATTTTACACTTTGAACTTTGTCCGGGACATAACTCTAAAAGTATAAGAGGTATCAACATGAAACTTTGTAGGTAGATAGATCTCATTGAGTAGGTGTGCAGTGCACAAGAACCGTAACTCTGCCTTGCCTAATTTTTGAATTATCCCCCTTTGTTTATTTTACACTTTGAAATTTGTCCGGGACATAACTCTAAAAGTATAAGAGGTATCAACATGAAACTTTGTAGGTAGATAGATCTCATTGAGTAGGTGTGCAGTGCACAAGAACCGTAACTCTGCCTTGTCTAATTTTTGAATTATCCCCTTTGTTTATTTTACACTTTGAACTTTGTCCAGGACATAACTCTAAAAGTATAAGAGGTATCAACATGAACTTTGTAGGTAGATAGATCTCATTGAGTAGGTGTGCAGTGAACAAGAACCTTAACTCTGCCTTGCCTAATTTTTGAATTATCCCCCTTTGTTTATTTTTACACTTTGAACTTTGTCCGGGACATATTTCTTAATGTATAAGAGATATCAACATGAAACTTTGTAGGTAGATAGATCTCATTGAGTAAGTTTGCAGTGCACAAGAACTGTAACACTGTCTTGCCTACTTTTTGGAGTTATTGCCTTTGTTCATTTTGACACTTTGAACTTTGTCTGGGACATTACTCTAAAATTATAAGAGATATTAACATGAAACTTTGTAGATAGATAGGTCTCATTGGGTGGAAGTGCAGTGCTTAAGAATCATTACTCTGCCTTGCCTTATTTTGAAGTAATTGCCCTTTGTTTATTTTTACTTTTTGACTTTTGTCCTGGACATTACTTTAAAACTATTAGAGATATCAACATGAAACTTTGTAGGTAGCTAGATGTAATTGGATAGAACTGCAACGCTTCAAGAACCTAAACAAAGCCTGGTCTAATTTTGGAGTTATTGCCCTTTGTTCATTTTTTTTATACTTTCCTGTGTCCAGAACCTTCTCGGGGAGCATCACCCGGTTCAACCGGTTCTTGTTGTTTGAGTTATGGCCCTTTAATAATTTTTATTTTTAAAGTTTGTCCGGACTACTTCTCTTATACCACTAATTCGATTTCAATGAAACTTTACAGGATTGATCTGTAGCTCAAGTCCTTGCGCATATTGCACGGGTTTTCCGGTTGAATGATTTTTGGCTGAGTTATGGCCCTTTGATAAAAAGGTGTTTTTTTTCTGTGTGTTGCCAGATACGCAAAAGCTTGTCCGGACTACTCCTCATAAACTACTGGTGCAATTTTATCCAAACTTTACAGGAATGATCAGTACCAAGTCTAGTTGTGCACTGTCTGTCTGTCCGTCTGTCACAAAATTTGTCCCAACATGAAATTGGCCATCATGAGGCGACACATGTGATTACTGATCGCTCTTGTTGTTTTTGAAGGGATTGACATCAAATTTCAAATTACAGATCATAATTGATTTTTCTTTCATAGTTTTGTCTTCCTTACTGCGTCTAGTATTTAATTAGTCGAGCTTCCCTGTCTCTTGTTGTATGCAATGTTATGTATAATGAAAATGTGAAAAATCAGGAAATGTTTGCCTTTTAACAAATAGTAAATATTTTTCATATAGGAAATTGACACATCTTAATTGGTTACTTTAATCATTACAGGGGTACTTGTTGTAAATTTTGTACTGCCACTTGAACTTGTGACACCTGAATGGAGAACATTTTGTGGTTGTATAGGCCTGTGGGCTGTTGGGCTTATGGCACTAGCAGGCTGGGGATATTTTATACAAGACTGGCAATATCTGGTCATATGTACATCAACAGCTAGTATGTTTATACTATTATCATGGTGGTAAGTTATAAGTTTTATTTGTACATCAACAACTTTTATCATTGTGTCAAGTCACCATGTTATATGTACGTCATCAGCTAGTATGTTTATACTATTATCATGGTGTAAGTTATTAGTTTAATTTGTACATCATTGTGTCAAGTCACCATGTTATATGTACGTCAACAGCTTGTATGTTTGAAATGTTACCATGTGTCTGTACACACAACTGGCATGTCTCTACTGTTATAATGTTGTATCTGTCAAACATTTGATTAGTGAGTCTATAATGGAATGTTTCCTTCTAATCCAAGGCTAAGCTGTAAATGTTGAAAAACTGAACATTTCCTGAAAATTTTCTTTTAAAACTCTTTTTTTGTATTTTTCTGCTAAAAGTGTTTTTAGTTTGTAAATTTTTAAATACAAATAATATCAATCTGCTCTTTGTTTTCCACTATTATCAAAGGTTTGTACCAGAAAGTCCAAGATGGCTTCTCAGTAGAGGAAGGGTGAAGAAAGCTGAGAGAATTTTGACAAATATGGCAAAATACAACAATAAACCAGTGCCTGATTTTAGTAAACTAAGACAGTATTCTGAGGTATGAATTTTCAAAATAAAACTTTAATAAATTGTCATTTTAGAAGTACCATGATCTAGAACTAAAAAGTTTTTGTTTGTTTTTTGTTTTGTTTTACGTCACATCGACACAGTATAGGTCATATCGCGATGTTCCAGCTTTACTGGTGGAGGAAGACCTTAGGTGCCCTTCCGTGCATTATTTTAGGCACGAACGGGCATCCGAGTAGAACCACCAACATTCCGTAAGCTAGCTGCATAGCTTCCTCATATGAAAGAATCCAAAGTCCCTGTCAGGATTCGAACCCAAAGTGGTGAGAGAACTAAAAAGTCTTGGAGAATTTTATCATCAGGTAATACAGATAAGTTTTGTCAGATTATACATTATGGCAGGTTATACAGGTATCTTGTGGCAGGTTACAGATAAGTTACAGTTAAGTTTTATCTGGTAATATATGTATTTTATGGCACAGTACAGTTAAGTTTTATCTTGGTAATATATGTATTTTATGGTATGTTACAGTTAAGTTTTATCAGGTAATACAGGTATTTTATTAGTGTTAATTTATATTACAGAATGAGATGCAGATGAAGCAGCATCAGATAAAATACAGTTACTGGCATCTTTGTAGCTCATGGAAACTGGCAAAAAACTCTCTTATACTTTTATATGGGTGGTAAGATATCTATTTCTTTTTCTAAAACTGACAGACATGATTTTTTTCTAGGTATTTATATTAGAGAAATGGCATGGCTTTTGTTGAGTGGTTTAAACATCAGACTAGTAATCTAAGGATTGTCAGCCACATAGGTTCAAACTTTGCACTTATTGCTTAGTGATGGTTGGTTACAGTACTGTTTCAAGACTGTTTGAATAAGCATATAGCTTCCTATACAATCAAACTAAAACAAATTTGTATAAACTGAACTAAGTATTTATATATGTGTTATTGCCTTTTGTGATGTTCATACTTAATTTTTGTTGAAAAAATAATGTTAAGTCAGTATGATACATATCAAAATGAAACTTCAAAACACCTTACTATCAAAGCGACTTATCCAGAACTGGCCATTCTAGTTGTTAGCTTGACTAGTCGAATAAAAGGGAGAGCTATTGTACTCACCCAGGTATCGGCATCACACATTTGTTAACCTTTTGTATTAAAGTTGATATCTCCCAAAATGACTGAAGAGAATGTATTGATTTGAGAGCATATTAGGAGGTCATTCATCTAACATAGATATTGATAGAATTATGGACCTTTTTTAACATAGAAAATTCTACATTATCCAGGCTCTTGTTTTACTATCAAACATAAATCGAGCATGCTGTCCTGCCAACAGCTTTTGTTTTTCATGAATGATTAATTTCATGAAGGTATATACAGTGTTAATGTTTTGATATTCTGAAACATTATAAAGTATGGTAACTGCTGAATCTTACCTCATTGTTGTGAAGGCTCTACCAAAATAGATACATACCAATGTTGTTGTTTTTTTCAGGTTTGTGTCAAGTGCTGTTTACTATGGTATGAATTTCAACACAAAGAACTTAACAGGGAACCTGTATTTAAATATATTTTTTTCTGGTCTGGTGGAAATTCCAGCTTTATTTTTTGTTGTTCTAGTCCATAACAAATTTGGGCGTCGTCTGACAGTCTCTTTATTGATGAATGTAGCTGGTGTGTTCTCATTTGCCATTCTCATCTTAGATTTAGCAGGTACAGTACACACATATATCTGATTCTTAGTTTATAAAATAATGGTTTTATTGTTTAATGAAATCTTATCTTGTAAACTTTATTCTCCACCTCTATCTTCATGACTTTCATGTTTACTTACTTTTAAGAGGTCATGCCAGCAAACAATAAATTAAATGCTCTTTGAAGCTATTACCTAAGAATCGGTCCAAACTTAGTTTGAAGCATTGTAGAACAGTTCTTCCTGAAACTGAAAATGTTTTTGCAGCAGAAATAAGACAAAAAAAATAAATTGGCTTACTTCTTCACATAATGATACCTGAATTTGGTTTGTAAGTTAATTATATTACATGTTTTCCTTGGCTTCTTAAAAAAGCCTCTTTATATTAGATGTTGATCTGCTGTTTGATGTCTGTATATAAGAATGATTCTAACACTATCGGAATTTTTTCTATATAGACAAAGAAGGCCGGAAGCGTGCATTATTCTACAACAATGCACTCGCCGTTCTTATTATCTCCCTGTGTATTTTCACATTGAAGGCGCCATTTTGTTTAAAAAATCTGATAAATTAAAACAATTTTTTTCGAATTTTGTTGTGAAAACTATCTAGAATGAAAGAAAATGGTCTAACTAAGAAAATTAATCCGAACACCAATATCTTTAATTCAGTCGTTAACGCTGTACAGACGTTTAAAGTGTTGTTTACGTGACGTCACAATGTAGCGCCAAACAGCACGTGCAAAACAATCAAATCAAGTTCGCTATTTAAATGTCGCAAACGAGTTTAGTTTTACATTTATTTCACTTTTAATAATTTGTATTTCGCTTGGAAAATTATAAAATAAATAAACAAACAAAGTTGTATCAACGTTTTCAAAATTCGTTATTTTCAAAATGTTTCTACAAACGGTAGATTTAACAGTTTTTTTTTCAACCCACTGGAACGGCCTCTAAAGAACGTTTCTATTGGAAACTCTGAGGCGAAAACAAATTCAACCACCAAACATAAAGTCCAACGTTATAATAAAAATTATATTTTTTCTTGACGTATTAGAATGGAAATAGATATAAATTCTTCGTGCATTATTGTATAATAATGCACGTTTTTCGTTCAAATGCTTTGTAATTAATCACTCAGGCCTATCGGCCTTCGTGATTATATTACTACGCATTTGAACTCAAACCGTGCATTATTCTACAACAATGCACTCAGAATTGATATCTATTTCCTAAACAAAGTGAACCGTAGACTGTAGACTAAACTATATCACATTTATTGTTAATTTGTTATATATTTTGTTCAGGTGGTTTAGATGAATATCCTAAATTGACCATAGTTTTTGCCATGATTGGTAAGGCAGGAATATCTGGAGGCTGGGCGGCACTTCAAGTTTTCTCAGCAGAAATTTTCCCCACAGTTGTAAGGTAAATAAAAGTGCTGGTCTTTTCTTTTTAGCCTAATGAGCTATTATGATAACATTGTGTCTGTTGTTAATATTTTAATTAAACAATATCTCCTTTTAAACCCCCAGAAGTGATGAAACTACATGTATACAGGAATGCACTTCAGCTGGTCATATGTGAAAATGCTCAACTTGTTATGGTTTGCTAAAGATGGTGGCAGGAGCTTAAAATAGAAATACCTGTAATTTGCTAAATATGGTGGCAAGAGCTAAAAATAGAAAAAACACGTAATTCATTCGCTCTGATCTCTAATTATAACCATATCATTAATTATACAACATGTGTCAAAAATAAGAGTAGGTATAAGAGTAGTCATCTTACATCATATCCTGATCAACATGTCTTGGTGGCCTAATTAAACTAACTTGGCAATTGGCATGCAGAAAATTACTTGATATTAATATCATTATGGTTGATACTACTTGTTTTCACTGTTTCCTGATTTATTTGATAGGAAATCAGATTTAAATCATATTCTAAGTGTGAAACTGCAATTCCCAAAGCTTAGATATTTGGCATGCAGCATTGCCCACATGACTTCTACAAAAAATACATAAATCATATATATATTTCAGAAACATAGGTGTAGGAGCATGTTCATTTTGTGCTAGAATTGGTGCCATTGTAGCTCCACAAATTGTTTATTTGGTAAGTTGTTTGTTAAATAAATTGCTTAATTGGTAAGTTTTTTTTTAAGTTGTTTATTTGGTATGTTGTTTTTTAAATAAGTTGAATATTAAGTAAGTTCATAAGTTGTTAATTTTGAAAGTTGTTTTTTGAATAAGTTTTTAAATTGTAAATTGTATATATATATATACATTATTATATACATGATGAGCTTAGCATTCAAATAAATATCCACTTTATTATAAAAACCACCTTGATAAAAGTCCTCTAAAAAATGAGAGCGCCAAGGAAACCTTAAACTGTATAAAACCTTAAATTTTGCTTTATCTGGTGGCAAGTTATACTTGATTGTAAGAATCATTGTATTACAACAAAGTTTATTTACTTTAGTGTCAATTTTTTTATACAAAATTCTGTCATCTGGAACAGACATTTGATAAACGTTTTTAATATTGTACATGTTTTATTAGGTCAAGTTTTGACTAAAAGGTATGGTATATGTATTTCTAGGGTGCCAAGAATGCAGCTCCCCTACCATTTACAGTATTTGGAATTGTAGCAGTTATAGCTGGTGGCTTGGTTTGGTTGCTACCAGAAACACGAGGTTTGGAACTTTGTTTCTTTATTATCTATATTGAAATGTATTCATTGGTTGTATATTGATCATTCCATTTAAATGTTGATGTCAGATTATTAAATATTTGTCATTATATTGGTTTATTGCGGTAACCTATCAGTTCAAAATCTTAGGAAGATAATTTGATTATTGTTTTATAATATATATTGCTTGAGGTTTGACACTTTGGACACAAGAGAATTATAACAGGGTGTCAGTGTATATTGGGGATTATAAAGTTTGATTTTAGGTTAATAATGCAATACTAGAAATAACAAAGCAATATCAGCAGGAAAAATGTATTTGATTTTCACAAGAATGTTGTTTTGGTTATATGCTAGTGTTTATACACACTATAGTGAAATAAAACTGGGCTACCATGAGCAGGCCATTAAACATGGTTAAAGCTGAAGTCAGCAGGGTATTGTTAAAGTGACTCCATAGGTGTTTTTGACATTACAGAACTGGAAATGATTTATGAGATTAATGTTCCATTTGATATAGGGCTAGACCAGTAATCTTTGTGCAAAACTTCAGATAAGTAGCTCACTTCCATTTTTTTTTGAAAATTAAAATTTTATGTATTTCTGCTTTTGAACCTCAGTGCAGTTCCATACCATTACGTGATGTTGACATGATAACTCTTTTTAGATATATTTTTACATTTAGCTGGTTTTAGATGAATCATTGCCTTATATGGTAACTATTTGGTAACTTTTTTAGGTGTACCATTACCTGATGAACTTACTATTACTGTACCACACCCTAGTGAAATCAGTGAACCTGACGGTGAATTGACAGAAAATAATGCTGAAACAATACCACTTAAAACAATAGATGCTGAAGATCAAAACACAGATAATAAAACAGAGGTTGCTTAATTAACAGAGGTAGCTTATTGATAGAGGTTGCTGAACAACAAAATTGTAGCTCATGTGGTACTGTATAATAATATGATCAAGGTTACTTTGTCAGTGTGAATAAAGTATGAAAATACATTGACCGCACATTGTGGTTGTAAGTAGTCTGTCCTGTATGAATTTGTTTTGACTTCTGTAGTTATATATAGTACCCATGTAATGTTTGAAATGTTGCTGTTTGAATTTGTTTTTATGAGTGATATTTGTTTATTGTATTTGTTTCATTTTTAGCTCAAATTCTTCTAAGAAAAAATTTGAGCTATTGCTATAGTCATGTTATCTTTGATGCTGTTGTCTTCCAAAAACTTTTAATGTCGGCCTTATCTTTTATTACTAAATGTATTGCCCTTCATCTTGTTTTATTTTTTTATGCATCAGGCTATGTATTTTTGATGGATTTTTTTCATACTAAGGCAGAACAATTTTTAGGACAAAACCTTCAAGATAATAAAACTTGACCTTGACTAATGAATGACTATGACCTTAAAGGTTTGCTATGAACTATGTCATTAACAAATAGATTGTCTTCATACTTGATCCACAACAACTTCTAAGTCTTTCAATACTGAACTAGACCTTGTCTCAGAAATGACCTTGACTAAGCTTAAAGTTACTTTGACAAGGTCAAGTTATTGGATTTAGCATAGATCTTGTTAACTTTCTTGACTTAGAAATAGACCAAATGATACAAAACCGGAATGTTGAATTATTCAAGTTTGACCTTAAAATGACCTTGATAATTTAATTGAGATAACTTTGTCATTTATTTACAGAATATATTTATTCTTGGACAAATTGACACCATTGTTAAAATCAACATGTTGAATAATTCAGATATAAGCTTGACCTTAAGTTTCACCTTGCCTTCAAAGTGATCTT